CAAGTTCTCCCACTTAAAAAGATGAGAGAGGCCTGTAATTGGCATCATAGGTAGACCTCAACTATGAGAGACAAAATGAGAAACAAAATCCAGACAATCACATTGGCTGATTTGGAAAGAATTTATTTGCAAATTATGGTGGAAAATAAGTATTTGGTCACCTACAAACAAGCAAGATTTCTGGCTCTCACAGACCTGTACCTTCTTGTTTAAGAGGCTCCTCTGTCCTGCACTCATTACCTGTATCAATGGCACCTGTTTGAACTTGTTATCAGTATAAAAGACACCTGTCCACAACCTCAAACAGTCACACTCCAAACTCCACTATGGTGAAGACTAAAGAGCTGTCGTAGGACACCAGAAACAAAATTGTAGACCTGCACCAGGCTGGGAAGACTAAATCTGCAATAGGCAAGCAGCTTGGTGTGAACAAATCAACTGTGGGAGCAATAATTAGAAAATGGAAGACATACAAGACCACTGATAATCTCCCTCAATCTGGGGCTCCACGCAAGATCTCACCCCGTGGGGTCAAAATGATCAAAAGAACGGTGAGCAAAAATCCCAGGACCACACGGGGGGACCGAGTGAATGACCTGCAGAGAGCTGGGACCAACGTAACAAAGGCTACCATCAGTAACACACTACGCCGCCAGGGACTCAGATCCTGCAGTGCCAGACGTGTCCCCCTGCTTAAGCCAGTACATGTCTGGGCCCGTCTGAAGTTTGCTAGAGAGCATTTGGATGATCCAGAAGAGGATTGGGAGAATGTCATATGGTCAGATGAAACCAAAATAGAACTGTTTGGTAGAAACACAACTCGTCGTGTTTGGAGGAGAGAGAATGCTGAGTTGCATCCAAAGAACACCATACCTACTGTAAAGCATGGGGGTGGAAACATCATGCTTTGGGGCTGTTTCTCCGCAAAGGGACCAGGACGACTGATCCATGTACAGGACAGAATGAATGGGGCCATGTATCGTGAGATTTTGAGTGCAAACCTCCTTCCATCAGCAGGGGCATTGAAGATGAAACATGGCTGGGTCTTCCAACATGACAATGATCCCAAACATACCACCCGGGCAATGAAGGAGTGGCTTCGTGAGAAGCATTTCAAGGTCCTGGAGTGGCCTAGCCAGTCTCCAGATCTCAACCCCATAGAAAACCTTTGGAGGGAGTTGAAAGTCCGTGTTGTCCAGCGACAGCCCCAAAACATCACTGCTCTAGAGGAGATCTGCATGGAGGAATGGGCCAACATACCAGCAACAGTGTGTGCCAACCTTGTGAAGACTTACAGGAAACGTTTGACCTCTGTCATTGCCAACAAAGGATATATAACAAAGTATTGACATGAACTTTTGATATTGACCAAATACTTATTTTCCACCATAATTGGCAAATAAATTCTTTTCAGATCAGCCAATGTGATTGTCTGGATTTTTTTTTCTCATTTTGTCTCTCATAGTTGAGGTCTACCTATGATGCCAATTACAGGCCTCTCTCATCTTTTTAAGTGGGAGAACTTGCACAATTGGTGGCTGACTAAATACTTTTTTGCCCCACTGTATATATACTTTTTTTTATAGTAGTAATGGCGGTGATCAGCGACTTATAGCGGGACTGTGATAGCGCTAACAGTGACATCAACAGTGGCACTAATACAGTGATCAGTGCTAATAATATCAAAAATGATACTTGATAGCAGTCTGTGAGTACTTACTCATTGGGAAGTGTGTGGCTAACAGCAGACTCCAGAGCTGGTGGGAACCTTGCGTTATCATTAAGGAGCTGAGCTGGACACCCCTCCTGCATGGGAAGAAAGTTACTGTACAGTGAAAATTAGGTGTACTGGAATACCCAGAACTGAAGTTTGGGACTACACTGGATCTTGAACATCGAGCCATTAGCAGTGGAACTGCCTTTTTGGGTGAATAGATTTGGGATCTGATATGTCTAATGTTATTACCCTTTTGCTGTTTTTGACCACATGATCTGTGATCATTTGTTTCGGTAAGAGGCTGTGAATGGTGATGGTGGAGGATTTTCTATTTTGTCTTCTCATTCGTGGCACATCACTTCTTGAAGATTTGATTTAATTTTGGCATTTAATCACAATTATTAGACTTTTTTGAGGACTCTTATTTATTTATTTATTATTATCATATTTGGTGCAAACATGAATTAGCGCTACATTTCTGTTTTTGTTATTGTTTGCATGTCGCCTGCATTTTGATGTTAGCAGCTTCTTCACTACACTAAGTCTAATTAGAGCAAGTGTATTTCTATATTTTTAGTGCTAATAATATGCACTGTCACTGTACTAATAACACTGGGTTGGAAGGGGGTTAACATCCGGGGCAATCAAAGTTAACTGTGTGCCTAACAAGTGTTCATGAGTTCACTGTGTGCTGATTTTACTAGGGGATGTGACGGTTTTTATTCCCTGATTTGCAGGGAGATAAAAACCGGCACATCCCTGCTATCAGTAGAGAGATCTGTATTGTTTACCAACACAGATCTCTCTCCTGTCATCCACTCCGCCGATCGGTTGGTCCCAACCATGAATCATTGGCCGAGAGACCCGCTGATCGGCATGTGCTGGACCCAGTGACCCTACCTGAAAATAAACAATCACATATACTGTATATACGTGATTCTACACAGCCGACCTGCTCTGTAGTAGTAAAGCTACAGTGCGCGGTCACGAACTGGTTAAAGATGGGACAACACATTTTAGTGACAATAATAATTTTTTTAAAGAATATGTTACCCCAACATTTTTTATATTCCTGTTATGTGTCTGTTGTACCATGTACATGTGTTAAAAGGTATCCAGCTCTCTTTTTATTGCTTCCTAAACTATGTTGCCAGAAGTATTGGGACACCCCTCCAAATCATTGGATACATGTGTCCCAATCCCTTCCATGTCCACAGGTGTATCAAATCAAGCACCTAGGCATGCAGACTGCTTCTACAAACATTTATGAAAGAATGGGTCGCTCTCAGAAGCTCAGTGAATTCAAGCGTGGTATCATGATAGGTTGCCACCTGTGCAATAAGTCCATCCGTGAAATTTCCTTGTTACTAAATATTCCACGGTCAACTGTTAGTGATATTATAACGAAGTGGAAGTAACTGGGAACAACAGCAACTCAGCCACAAAGTGGTAGGCCACGTAAAATGACAGAGTAGTGTCAGCACGAGTCAATAGCTAAAGACCTCCAAACTTCGTATGGCCTTCAGATTAGGACAACAGTGCGTAGAGAGCTTCATGGTATGGGTTTCCATGGCCGAGCAGCTTCATCTAAGCCTTTTATCACCAAGTGCAATGTAAACCGCCGGATGCAGTGGTGTAAAGCACGCCACCACTGGACTCTGGAACAGTGGGGACATGTTCTCTGGAGTATTGAATAATGCTTCTATGTCTGGCAATCTGATGGACGTGTCTAAGTTTGGTAGTTCCCAGGAGAACGGTACTTGCCTGACTGCATTGTGCCAAGTGTAGGGTTTGGGGGGTATTATGGTGTGGGGTTGTTTTTCAGGGGTTGGGTTTGGCCCTTTAGTTCCAATGAAGGGAACTCTTAAGGTGTCAGCACTCCAAGACATTTTGGATAATTTCATGCTCCCAACTTTGTGGAAACAGCTTGGGGATGGCCCCTTCCTGTTCCAACATGACTGCGCACCAGTGCACAAAGCAAGGTCCATAAAGACATGGATGAGCGAGTTTGGGGTGGAAGAACTTGACTGGCCTGTACAGAGTCCTGACCTCAGCTTGACAGAACACCTTTGGGATGAATTAGAGCAGAGACTGCGAGCCAGACCTTCTCATCCGACATCAGTGCCTGACCTCACAAATGCGCTTCTGGAAGAATGGTCAAACATTCCCATAGACTCACTCCAAAACCTTCCCAGAAGAACTGAAGCTGTTATAGCTGCAAAGGGTGGGCCAACTCAATATCAAACCCTACAGACTAAGACTGGAATGCCATTAAAGTTCATATGCGTGTAAAGGCAGGCGTCCCAATACTTTTGGCAATATAGTGTATATGTGAAATGCCTGGTGATCCTGCTAGACCCTCTGCTTTCCTATTTCAAACTGACCACACTAGGCATGAGTGCACATCCTTTCCAGTGCTGTCCGTTTTTTTGGTTTTCCTTCAATCACCTAGACTTGTGCTGACACGCCCACTTCACAGGTTTGCACTGGGAAGATCAGTGTATTGGTTTCTCCTTGCCTCCTGCTGACATGCCCCCCTGCAGTCTCCACACCCAGCTCTCTAAGCCCCTTATGCAGCTGAGACCACAGATCATGTGATCACTTATAGAAGAAGAAGTAAATTGTGTTTTATAATTTTTTTTATATCTAGACATAAATGTTTTGTCTTGCTTTTCTATTTTACATTGAATGGGCAGTTTTACAAGGTGACGGTTCCTGTATGCTTTAACATGCTGAGTAGGACACAACACACTGGACTGACCACATTGCATCACCTTCCCCTGTCCCAGTTGGTTGTCCTTGGATTAATAGGGCAGGGACGGGAAAAGGGGTCACTTTTTTGTCTTCTTCATGTTGGGTACCAGATGACCTTGTCCTGACAATGCACCCGAACATCTGGATGTTTAAATAAGGATTTATGAAGAAATATGACAACACAAACCAGTAAAAAGTGTTACTTCCTCTTTACTCTAGTGTAAGTATTTCTCTTACAACATGCTTTCTGAATAACTGAATTACTTATAATACTGTCATGAATGACCAGAGCAGGCAACAATCACATGATGATGACATCTCACCCGGAGAGGAGGTGGGATGAGGTCACAGGGTCCAAAAAATGTCTATTAGAAGCTGGCATTCCTAAATAAAGGGAACCTGTAACCAGAGAAATCAGAGACTGACAGTGTTGAGCTGTCTATAAATCTGCCTGTCTGTGCAACAACACTCTCTGTTTCAGTGACCTAGAACAAGCATGCTACAAGTCAGCATATATCTGCATATTTCAACCAGGGGCGGACTGACAACTCATGGGGCCCCTGTTTCCTTGCCCAAACTCAAAAAAGCCTATGAAAAAGGTACCAGGGTCTTCTCATGTGGCCCCCTACTGACCCTGGCCCTCGGGCAGTGCCCGAGTTTCCAAATGGTCAGTCCGCCCCTGATTTCAACTAGATCAGTGACACCATTGTAGATAGCATGAAAAATGTTATGGCAGCAGATGTATTTCTCACTGTGATGAGAACCCCTGATATAAGGGCACTGTGATGGGGACTCCTGATATAAGAGGGTGTTGTGTTGGGACTCCTGATATAAGAGGGCACTGTGATGGGGACTCCTGATATAAGAGGGTGTTGTGTTGGGACTCCTGATATAAGAGGGCACTGTGATGGGGACTCCTGATGTAAGAGGGCACTGTGATGGGGACTCCTGATATAAGAGGGCACTGTGATGGGGACTCCTGATATAAGAGGGCGCTGCTGTGATGGGACTCCTGATATAAGAGGGCGCTGTGATTGGGACTCCTGATATAAGAGGGCGCTGTGATGGGACTCCTGATATAAGAGGTTGCTGTGTTGGGACTCATGATATAAGAGGGCGCTGTGATGGGACTCCTGATATAAGTGGGTGCTGTGATTGGACTCCTGATATAAGAGGTTGCTGTGTTGGGACTCATGATATAAGAGGGCGCTGTGATGGGACTCCTGATATAAGAGGGCGCTGTGTTGGGACTCCTGATATAAGAGGGCGCTGTGATGGGACTCCTGATATAAGAGGGTGCTGTGTTGGGACTCCTGATATAAGAGGGCGCTGTGTTGGGACTCCTGATATAAGAGGGCGCTGTGATGGGGACTCCTGATATAAGAGGGTGCTGTGATTGGGACTCCTGATATAAGAGGGCGCTGTGATGGGGACTCCTGATATAAGAGGGCGCTGTGATGGGGACTCCTGATATAAGAGGGTGCTGTGATGGGGACTCCTGATATAAGAGGGCGCTGTGATGGGACTCCTGATATAAGAGGGCGCTGTGATTGGGACTCCTGATATAAGAGGTTGCTGTGATGGGGACTCCTGATATAAGAGGGCGCTGTGATTGGACTCCTGATATAAGAGGGCGCTGTGATTGGGACTCCTGATATAAGAGGGCGCTGTGATTGGGACTCCTGATATAAGAGGGCGCTGTGATTGGACTCCTGATATAAGAGGGCGCTGTGATGGAGACTCCTGATATAAGAGGGCGCTGTGATGGAGACTCCTGATATAAGAGGGCGCTGTGATGGGACTCCTGATATAAGAGGGCGCTGTGATTGGGACTCCTGATATAAGAGGGTGCTGTGATGGGGACTCCTGATATAAGAGGGCGCTGTGATGGGGACTCCTGATATAAGAGGGCGCTGTGATGGGGACTCCTGATATAAGAGGGCGCTGTGATTGGACTCCTGATATAAGAGGGCGCTGTGATGGGACTCCTGATATAAGAGGGTGCTGTGATGGGTACTCCTGACACAAGTGGTGACACTTTGGTGAGGTTCTATTTCTTCACAGACATACACTGACTACATAAATGAATTATAACGCGGACATGATATTCGGACTTCTGCTGGAAAAATACTAATGTGATCTCCTAGAAGTGAATACCCCTTCTCCTGTATAGATGTACTATAACATATGTGTCATGGTCTGTGGAGTCCCACAACTGCACTATATATATATATATTTCCAAAATGTGTCCAGCCAACACTACAGTCCCATGTATGTTGTATCAGGTGCACACAGGTGGATCCGAGCCTCTCGGTCCCGCCCCCCCGGGGACACACACTGTACCGGGGTCACCCAAAAGGTGATCAGGTGACAGGTGTCCGTCCTCTCTTCCCTTCCTCACTGGACACGGGGCCGAGGGGGCGTTCCCACCCGGATGTGACGTCACCATTCACCTGCTGCTGGCTGGGCAGTGTTGGAGGCAGCGGCGAGGAGGGAAGGAGAGGATCGGAGGAAGGCACACCCAGACACAGCGAGCGGAGGCCGGGATGGAGCTGCGATATCTCACCGTCCTTATCATCGGTCTGTCCTGTTGGGGTGAGTACACACACTACCTACCTACCGCCCGCCATTGGAAGCCCCCACTGTGCTCCCGCTCCGAACTTCTCTGTACCACTTGTTACTGATCAGAGACACAACTAGACTCCGAGTCCGGGGAGAGAGAGACCTTGGACATGGGATGGGTGCATGGAAGGAATGTCTCCCGACAGTGTCAGATCCGATATATCCGTGTGTGTATATACTGTATATATGTATATGACCCCATAGATCGACCCTCCGTCCACAGCAACTTTATACATTGTATCCTCCTTCTCCAGATATTATGTAGCTCTGCATATAATATGTACACATAGGTGGGTAGAAGTGTCTGGGTGCCTCCAATTGTACAGGAAAGACATGAGAATAAATGTGTGTATGTGTGTGTAAAATATATATATATTTTTTTTTCCTGATCTGTCATCTACGATCCCTCTGTGTAGTTGTTAGTCTAACACATCAGTGAAGTTAAGTTCGGTCTGTGTGTCCAGTTGTATAGATTGGGGTGATTGTATATAGGACCCCCACCTATACCATCCGTGAGTCTGTCCCCCATCCACAGCGACTGCACAGAGAGCGACTTTATACATGTCTTGTCATCACCTTCCATGTATAGATCTCCTGTAGATCTTTCTAATGTCTGTAGAGATGGACTGATAGATCCGTGTGTGTACTCCAATTGTAGGGGATTGTTCTATATATAAACCTTTCCTTACCTAGATCTTCTATTAAGCTGCCCATAGCCTTATGTCCGGTTCCCACCAGATGCAATCTGATGTTTTTATTCTGCATCAAAAACACATGGACAGTGTGTAACATGGATTCTGATGGCCCTAGTTCACACCAGTGCAGTCAACAAAAGTAGAGCATGTTGCATTGTTTCTGCATGGAGTGCACATGGCCTGAATTGAGATGATGGGACACACACACACACACACACACACCAGAACACATCAAAAATGTGCATGCAGAAATTGGAGTGTGACCTGGCTTTTACTCTGTACTGAGAGCAATTAAATACACTTTCTTGAGTTTTTAAGCACTTTTCCCAACATATGTCTGGTGTGTCTTTATATATATATTCACACACTGATAAAGCGAGAGATATCTGTCCATAGTGCCCCGCAGTGTGAACAGGTTGGGTCGGTTGCACTCTGTTTACAGTCATAAAGTGACAACTTCTTCTGGTTGTGTTCTGCCCTCCCACTATAATCCTTCCTGGTGTGAATTGTCTGGATAACTCTTCTATGGATCCATCTCCTGGTCCTCAGTAATAGCTGACCTCTATGTGTGATCGTTTTTATATGCTCCTATAATGTATTGATTTGTATCGGCTGCTTATGCTGGTGCTTTGCATCCCGTCTGCATGGAATGATCTAAAGCCTTCATTTTGGCTTTTCTAGATCATTTATGGACGCTTACATTTCTATATATCTGTATGCAAAGTGACCCCCTCACTTCCGAGCTTCTAATCCACATCCCCTGGCGTAGGGCAAATTTTAAACAATTTTTTTTTTAAACTATTCTAATGATTGAGGCTAGACATTCGTAAGTTGGTGATTCCCTGTGGACATACTGCTGATAAGATGTATATCTGCTGTACATACTTCTAGGGGTTTCTATAGGTTGTACACATTTCTGAGCTGCTTCTATGACCCCCTCAGTCATATAGGGTAAACTTTAAAATAAATAGAACCCCCCCCCTTTAAAAAAAAAAAAAAAAAATTTAAATAGTATGTTTATGGATAGTCTAGCCATAAGCTGGTTATTATATATTGCTGCTGAAGATTATTGTTGTACAGGACTTAGGCTGGCCATACATGGGTCGATTTTCAGATGATTTTTCATTCGAAAATTGGACCTAAGAATTTTTGCTTTGTTGGTGGGGCAATGGCACTGGCCGGTTTTCATGGTTCCTCCCCATTTCGTTTATCGGGCATGCTGGAAAATTCCTGAAAAACAACCGATTTTCAAAATCATTGGTGGCACCATCAGATTACAGAACGAACAATGTTCTCGATCGAAAAATCGTTCAGAGTTCGACCCATGTATGGCCCGCTTTATATAGCGCTAACAGTTTGTGCAACACTGTACAATATAAAGGGTGCCCGTACAGATACAATACAATAAAAAACAAAAGGTTTAATAGGGCCCTAGTCATAGAGCTTACAATCTAATAGATGTATACATCTATATAATTTGCTGGCCATTAGTTGAAGGGGAGTTTCCTAGGGAGAGAAGTAAAATCAGGGATGTGGGAGAAATGTATTTCTGTGATAACGGCGGTTGTATTCCAAATTGCAGGTCTGTTTTGCTGTCTGATGGCTCCGGACCCTCCCCAGCAGCCTCCATGTGCTTTATCTTTTCTCACCAGTTAGAGACATGGGGGTTGCTGGGGGGGATGGGGGCTGAGACTTGATCCCATTAAACAATAAAGAGAGGGTCTTCCCATGGAGGCTGGTGGGGGCGCAGGCGGTCAGCCCTTCACTCCTTTCTCTTGTCTCTCCAATTTCCAGGAACAATTAGTTGATTAGCTTTGGTGGCATCAAAGCCAGTTCCTGTATTCTCAATGTGAGTGAAGTAATATGTGAAGTTGCAGGCTGTCAGTGCATTGGGTCTAGTATAACCTGGGCAGCCTTTGTGGATGGGATCCCGTCCTCCCCACCAGCCCGAAACAGGGGATTGTTTATCCAGCTCAGTATTTGTTGTTTAGATTTGATAGGTTTGATTATTCGCTGATCTAATCTCATCGGCAGGATGAAGCTGCAGTCTCCATTAGCAGTGAAGCATGGCTTGTCGTTATAAACAAACGAATGCTGTGTGTGGGATTAGTGTTCGTTTATATCACGTGGTGCTGTGTGCTGGGCGGCTTTGTTTAAAAAAAAAAAAAAAAAAAAAAAATCTAGTTTGACTTTTTTTTTTTTTTTTGATTCACTTTAAGTGAGACGATTTCTGATTGGTGTGAATTTTCACAGCAATCTATTGAGAGCTTTATCTGTGTAACTTTTCCAAGGGGTCTTAAAGCAGTATTAAAACTGTAATATATTGCAGCCTACCAGTCATTAGATATGGTGGCTATGTTCGGTTTCTTTGAGGTTTTACCCTCTTGTTTT